AAAAAGTAAAGGGAATATAGGGAATTTTTACGGTTTCATAGTAGTTATATACCCTCCCCCGCTCGACGTGTTTTTTGAGGGGAAATAAGATTGTGAAGAAGGGGTCGTATGAAAGCTGTCGTGAAGGAGGGGGTCGTAAAAATTTTGCAAAAAGTCCCAACGACCAACGATAGGAACGAACCTGCTCGCCGCAAGTCTATACGGCGAGTGATTAGATAGCAGAGAGAGCGTAGTGTTGAAGAGGGCACAGCGATGAGAGTCGCATCAATGCGCAAATCAACGGGCAAGGAAGGGGTCCCATTTCTCGGGTTCCGGGCCGTTTCTCATGGTTTCTTCTTCATCCCTGCTCCACTGACCACCTCTGCCCTTATTTCTAGTTAGCTAACTTTTCATCGTGAAATCCGCCCTTAAGTGCGATAATTGTCAGGGCCAAGGGTTCTTACATCTTCTAGTCTCACTAGATTTTTAGCGCTAGAAATTTTGAGGAGCTCAGAACTTGATGTTTGCCCAGGTTTGATTGTGCTCTGTGCTCTAGTGAATTTCATACGACATGTCAGTCCATTCCGTGGACGCTAGACGGGCATATTTGGCGCAAGTCGCATAGTTTTAGGTAAGAAGAGAGACTCATGAGGCAGTAAGAGATGGGGGACCGACTTATCAGATAAGATTGTTTACTGAGTTGTTTATTTATGTATTTATTTACTATAATTTCCACTACACGTGGATCATCCTAATCTTGTAGTATTGTATGGTGCAATGGACCAAAATAAGGAGTTTATGTGAGCGCCTCTCCTGAGCGGCAACGCCCAACTACTGAAAGACCACTGTAGAGGATAAAAAAAGATAATCTGGAATTTGTGAAATAATCAGCTTATCCGATATTTCTTATCTTGGACACATCAATATTTCGAACTGTAAGATGGTGTGCTAAATAAAGAAGCTTTTTTTCGTGATTCTTCAGGTCGGAATGAACTTCGTTCTCGCGATAACCGTCTAATCCTATTAAAGACCGATTGCCGGGCAAATACTTCCTTCCTGACAACGACACAGGTACCCCAGTTAATGCGAATAAAAAACCACCAACTTTCCACCTCATTTGTGCCGGTAGCCCATTTGGACTGCCTGGGATGTGGTCCGCGGGGCAATGGCAGCCCATTTGGCGTGCCAGCTGATGGTCATTCGCCAACTGCTTATATCGTATTTTTTAGATATTTTATGATATAAATGAAATGACAGTGGACTATTATACATATAACGCTAAACGACACGGTTCCCTGAAAAAGCATATGCTTATTTTTAGAGTATTGTATTTTGAAGGCGGAAGTGGTGCAGTGGCAAGTGGGGTGGTAGATGGCCGCTTACCACGCGAGCGGTCCGGGGATCAAATCCTGGGTCGTGAGTCGCCCGGGCCAACCAAGCCTTCCATCCCTCCGGGGTCGGTTAATTGGTACCAGACTTGTCTGGGAGGATAAAAACACTGACTTGTACATCGGCTGGCCCCCGCAAGTCATTGTATAGGCCACATCGCATTCAAAACGCCACTGCGAATGTGCAAATGGAAGTAGAATGCGTGCCGCATCCCAAAAAGGGATTGATCAAATTAGCAGAGCGAAAAGCTTTATACCTTCACCCTTTATTGGGGCCGGAATTTTTTTACTCGTTCATTAATCTTTTTATTCCACTGAAAAACAATAGAATGAAAAAGTTCTAAAATCATATGTTTCAACCTGAAACATCTAGGGAAAAAAATGCACTAGTTCTGTCGCGATAGCTGTCGCTTTCTGAAAGCATAATAGGCGCCAAATCATGTTCGTATAGCATACAATTTTTAATAGCAGATTTTGTCACCTAAGGCCGATGTCAGACTTTGCGAATCGCGCGATTCGCTAGCGTCCGCGGTCGCGTTGCGGTACCAGCCAATTGAGTGATTCACTGGCCGCGACGCGACCGCAGACGCTAGCGAATCGCGCGATTCGCAAAGTCTGACATCGGCCTAAGAGGGCAGGAACTGAGCGATGGTTATCGGGTTGGGCTTAACATGGGTTTACGTGCGACTACTTGATTTTTCCTCAATGGTCCTGCCGCGATGGCTAGAGCACAGACGATTAGAGAACGGGTGAATGCCCTAGGACTAAGCCTTGGAGAGGAGAGGGACCCGCGAGAGAGCGCAGAGGCGGTTTAAAGGGCTGAGTTCAAGTAGTCCGTCGACCGCGTTTAATTGTGAAACGTCCATCGAACGGAACGGAACGTTGAAATTAGTGCCCTGTGCTTGGAGAGTGAAGGAGGTAAGCAAACCAGCCCTTTTGGCGTTTCGGCTGGGGCCGTATGCTGAATGTTGGGGAGGGGTTGGGGTCCCCAACGGTCGGTCGACGGTTTACTTCAACTCGGTTGGTACGATAGGAGAGTACTGACGCAAGTGGTGCAGCTGGTCCAGCAGCTCCGCCAGAAGGGCTGGTTTGCTCACCCCAGGACTAAGCCTTGGAGAGGGGACGGACCCGTCCTCTCTTTAAGGCTTAGTTCTGAGGTAAGCACCAAATTGTGGCGGTTCTAAGGACCGAGTTGAAGTGGTCCGTCCACCGTCGGGGACTCCATCCCCTCCCCAACATTCAGCATACGGTCCCAGCCGAAGCGCCAAAAGGGCTGGTTTGCTTACGTCCTAGAAGAGTGATCGAGCAAATTTGGCGCTAACAGCAGGGTAGGCCACGCGGCGGCGTCGGCGCTCTTAAATCGTCTGCCGCTTCCACCCGGCTTAATCCCGATTTTTCGAGACTGTTTCGCAGCGGTGATGAACGCGGTCCTCAAGGACAGCGTTGGAGAGTGCAGCCCGAACCGGCCTCAGCACGCGAGGCCCCCTGGGCCTATTTTTGCACCAGCAAATTTTTCCAAGAGACTAAATCACTAAATCTTGCCCCTCCGCTCGCGAAAACGCGGTTGTTACTTTGGCTTTGGCAGCCGTTTACTTTACAAAGTGAGAATGTTTGATAATATTGCATGCAGTGTAAGGGTGAAATAACGCTCCTGAAAGATTTAATTCTGAAGGATTACAAAAAAAACAGACGTCGTTCATATGATCACTCACAGAATTCTTGATATGTCAATCACAAAGTGAGCAACTATTGATTAATATTCAACAAATGGCCCGTAACTTTGGTCGTCGATTTAAACACCTGCGATTTTTTTTTTCGTCGGATGTTTCCCATTTTCTTCTTATCAGGAATGGAGGACCCCATCTAGGGGAGCCACTGTCAGTGCTTATAAGCACATTGAGCTGAGGTGTCCCTGCTACAGATCGCGGTGATGGTAAGTTACTCCCTTTTCATTTATTCCTCGTCTGGAAAATTGTGTTTACAGAAGTACCTTGTGTTTGCATTCTGCGTCTGCCTATGCCGAGGCTCATCCGAGGCGGATTTGCTCAGTTGGTCACCATTTTTAGCCCAGGGTTCACAGGAACTTGACTGATCATCTCTTACAGCTGCAATGAAAGCTGAACAAATTCCGCTGGATGCACAAGTGCTGAGCGGTGTGCCGCTTGTCGAATACCTTCGGAAAAACCAGAAACTTTTTGAGGTAATCCACAGTCTTCAGGAACCCATGTACCTGTAACTGTAAATGGAGTTTTTCCAGCGTTGCCGGCAACACCATGACAAACGTGACTGTCCAATACAGACTAATGAATCCGATGTTCATCGATCAGAATAGGAACCCGGTCGTCGATGAAGTAGGGGACAATGGTGATGACATTCCAGAAAGGTTGGTTTTCAGTTCATTCGCTGCCAAAGCATTTTAGAAAAATTAAACATGTGAAGACCGTGGCTTCGACCAGTGGACATCACCGTTCCGTAGAGCATAAACCCAGGTCCCAGCCAAGCGCCCGTCGCGCGGCGAAGTAAAGAGACGCAGACGCGGCAAGGACGAGCGCATACTGTAGCGGTTAGGCGTCAGGTTAAATAGAGTGTACCATACTACGTCTCATATCGCACAGCACGCGCTGCGACTCGTCCTTTGCCGCATCTGCGTCTCTTCCTTCGCCGCGCGACGGGCCTCTTGGTGGGACACCCAAAAATCATTTCGGAAATGGAAGGAAGGGTCACCTCTGAGTTCCTCGGAGAGGAGACATGGTGTGCAAAACTGAAGGTAAGTCTTTTATAGTAAGAGCGTCAAAGGACAATATTCCTCCTATAGTTCGCTCAAAGGCATGGATGAGTGGGCGTAAATAGAAGCATTTTCGTCTCTGGGAGAAGGGCGTGGTAGGGGGGGGGAGAGATAGGCATTTGCTGGGTAAACCTCAATGTTTGTGGTTGGTTGAGGATACGTCATGTAACCCTATTGAAATCAGTGAGTCGTAAAATTCCTTGAATGCAGCACGATGCGAGCCTATCTGCGAATTCCACGTGTTTTTTGGAACGGTCTCTGATTTGCGCAGCCTATTTACCAGTTTGAAAGGATACTATCCCACAACATCATTGCCGTGAAGTCGAGGCGTGCAAACCGTCCCTTCGCCCTATTTACAAACGAGAGAGTCCACGTAAGTTCGAATGAGTCGTTTTCGGTTGGTAAGGTTGTCCATGTTTCGTGGGAGAAACGTGAATAAGAGTTGTGTTTTGTGGGAGTGAAAGTGGTAGTGCAGAAGAGCTGTCGTTTTGAGGAGCCGAGTTTTTTCGATCGTGGTTCAGTCGGAACGAACATGAAAGGAGCGCGAAATGGATAAAATTTGGGGGATTTGTTGCCTGCTGCTTCATTAGCGATATCCCACCCTCCTCGCTTATGGTAGTGGTCAGGGTGAGGGAGGGGATCGTGTCGAGACTGGATGCCGCAAAATTTTTGGAAAAGCGTCGAAGATCGCGACGTGTCAATCCCTGGAGGGAGGTGAGAGGTAGGCCGGAATGGTAAAGGAGAAAAGGCTGAAGGGGTGATGTTAACTGAAATCGTCCCACGAGAATAGGTCGCCATTTCACTTCGACATTCAAATCTTATTCGAATTTTGGATATGTTTCGGGTCTTGGTGTAATTGTATCTGGTGGAAGCTAGGAGGGGGGATCGAGTGGTAGATGGATAAGCTCGTATTGAAGTGCATCGGAAAGAGAGGGTCGTTTTTGACGGGTAATTTCGAAAGCTCCATGAAATGCATGGGCAGTAGGTAGGTAGAGCATATGCTGCTCCTTCAGCCATACATCCCTGCAAAACGGCAGTTTGGTGAAAATCTTGGGGCGGAGTTGGAGTGTGTCGCCTGATCTCAGAATCGAATAGCATAAAAACGCTGTGGTGGTGAGGGGTGCGCTATGGAGTGACCTCTTCAAGTAACCTTTCCTGGTTGATGGTGGTTGATGTTAAGGGGTCGTATCCACCCCCCCCCCTTCCAAGAAGAACAGAGGAGGAGATTTTGTAAACTAGCATTACGCGACTGCTGACCCTGGTCCCGGGCGTTGGTTGACCCTGGTCGAAACCGCCATAGCACCTGCAGGGGAGGCAAAGCTGATGGTCTCCATGCATATGGTGGCAAAGAAAACTGGCAAAGATCGAATTTCCGCAGCTCATAGTAAAACCAAACTCCCTGCTTTTCAGCTTTGATGCTCGAGTCCACTGGAGCAACTGCTCTTCGCTGTTTTACATCCGAGACCAAGCCAACTGCGGTAAGCAGCCTCTACACAAAGTTCTGAGAAGAAGGCTAAGAACAGTCCCAATGCCACATCCGTTCAGGTTCTTGCTGGGCCGTGTCTTCGGCAGCTGCGATGTCGGATAGGGTTTGCATTGCTAGCCGGGGAGCCAAACAGGTACAAATTAATGGCGTCGATGACGGTCTACCCAAAATTCATGGATTGATTTGCAGGTGCTGCTCTCAGATCAAGACATGTTGGCATGCTGCTCATGGTGCGGTTATGGGTATGATTTTAGAACTTTTTTAACAGGCAAAGTCTGGGATTAAGCGAGACGACTGAGCGCCGACTCTGCGATGTAAAGTGGGCGACAAAATGCAAGGAATTTGCTAGAACCGCAAGCCACGCCCCTGTTCGCAAACCCCGCCTTCCGCTGTTGGCCGCCGCGCTGGCGTCGCGAGGAGAGCGCCGCTGCCATTGCGCCAATGTAATCACAGCGATTCAAGCGCACTGGCACTGGAGCAGCTGGAGCTAGCAGCTTGGGAAACTCGTCCAAACACGCCCTTCTTCCAAGGTGGAATGGGACCGAAAGAGAGGGGCCTCGTTCAAGGCGTAATCGGGAGTTTCTTGCTGTTCTTTCCATTCAAAGACACTCCTTCCAGTTTTTCCTTGCTGATCTAATCTTGCCATGTCCTGCTGGCAATCCGGTGCCATGTGTGGCTGGTGTTCTGCGCCCCTCTCGTACGAAACCACGCTCTCTCAGCAGCATTGCCTCTCCTCGCTCTCGCGCTGTGTCTCTTCGTTGTTGCACGATCGACCTTACAAGAAAAGGAAGTTCCCCAATTTCCCAGTATTTTGGACCCTTCTGATTTCTTCCTCTCCGCAGTTCATATTTCATTTTCAAGCGGAGACAAACCTTAAGCTCGGACCGTTACGTGTGAGCGAGGCACTAGACCCTTGCCGTCATGTCTCTATCAGTAGAGCAGAAATAAACAAAGAGACAAATTAAATAAATATAAACATCCCACATATAGATATTATTCGCTGATTCAGATGTGAAGGTGGTTGGCCGATGAAAGCTTGGCAATATTTCGCACGAGAAGGTGTTGTGACTGGTGGAAATTACCGCAAACAGGTCACTACCATCGGCATTTATTGCCCATAAGATCCTAATGTAGGACTGTTTTCAGGGTTGTTGTCGCCCCTACGAGTTTCCACCATGTGGAAGGCATGGAAAAGAGCCGTACTATGGTGAATGCTACGATTCGGCGAAGACTCCAAAGTGTCAAAAAACATGTCAGAGAGGGTATCTGAAACCATACAAGGAGGATAAGCACTTCGGTACACTTTTTTATAGATAACCCATAACTTACACGAGGCAGTTCAGCTGGGTATCCGACAGGAGGCCCGTCGCGCGGCAAGAAGGCAGAGTCAGCGGACGAGTCGCAGCGCGTGATGTGCGATGTAGGACGTGCAGTGGTACATTCTATTTAGTAATACGACAGTACGCACTGGTAGTCGTCCACTGACCTTGCCTTCTTGTCGCGCGACGGGCCTCCGCTCAATGTACTCCAGCTCAGCTATCTCATAGGGTCATCAAGCGCGGTGCTTTTTTCCTATCGAGTTCTTTCGTCATAGAACTGTACAGTACTGAATGATTAGCACCCCTGTTAGGAATGTTTTCAATCCTTCCCACTCAAATTTCGAATATAGTCAGACAAAACTTAAAGGCAGGTGGTACGATAAAATGAACGCTGAAGAAAAGGGAAACGCACACACTGTAAGTGGAGGCTGTACTCCTGCAAAACAATGGTAACGCGTTCGCGGCGCAGGAGGTGCCCACAGCACCATAGAAAGGCTTTACTCAATCCTTTGTCCCTCTTCCCGCCCACTGACTGGTCACCCTAGCTGTCGTCTCTCGCCGTCTGACTCTAGCCGTTTTAGCAGAGAGACAGGGTTTTAGCGTTGATGACGTCATC